TGAGCTATTTTGGGGTTTGGGCCGTTACACTTGGGCCTGAGTTGTTCTCTGGGCTCAATGGACTTGTGTAGGAGATGTAGGAGTCTATGGGCCGGGGGTTCCTGGGCCATATACTCCATCAGTATTGTATGCTATCTAAATTATATTCTACAGATCTAAACTTTCCATTTTCCCATTTTAGTAATTTTAATTTCTTTCTACTTTCTTTATTTTTAATTATTACATTATATAATATAGCTTATCGTTTAAGTATTAAGATTTAGGGTAGAGGCTTTGGAGGGTTTGGCTATCTTTGATGAAAAGGTATTAATATTATAATTTTAAGTGATATAATTGAAAGTGTAAAAAAATGTAGAAAAAGTGTTAATGGCTTGAAAAAAAGATAAAAATGTATGTACAGGTGATAAAAGGTGAGAAAAGTAGAAGATTTATGTAGAAGATATGATTTATGTATAGAAAAGTGATGCATGTAACGAAATATTTCCATAAAAGTATATAATAAAATTTAATAGAAAAGGATGGAGTATTACTTTTCAGTTTAATTTGCAAAGTTTTCGATTTGTTATATTGGGACTATTAAAAAGGAACGGACCATACTCCGGATTACGGAGTATTATACATACATTCCCTTTTCTAAATCTGGGCAACGGCTGACGGGTGGGAGGGAGTATTATTAGAAGATGACGTACCCCTATAGTTGATGTACCCCATAGATTATCACTGATAATCTGAAAAGTTTTTTATACTATCGAAGTTCACCCAAACATGTACATCTACACTTATACCAGCTCATTATCCACATAATTTTTTATATTATATTGGATAACACTACTCTAAAAAGACCTTATGTATACAAGTATTTGATAATTAAAAGAAAAAATATAGACAATTCACAGAATCACATAACTTTGAAAAATATAAGCAAACTTCCCACACTATAGTTGGTAAATTGAGAATATAATTGAATACAAAATTCATCAAAAGTATAGGATAATTTAATACACCATATAAGAAATCCTTACAACAATCTCACATATAATACACTTACAAAAAGGAGCATGATTTAACATTGGGCAAAAGCTCTCGCGCCTTGCTTGAGGAAACGCTAGTCTAATAAGAAATGCAAAAGAAACAGCCGCACAAAATCCTTTTGGAACGAAAAAATATCAAACAGTTATGTTTCAAAAAAAAAACTCACAATCAAAAGCAAAAACTACCCAAATATGGACGTTTTTTGAAAGAAACTCTCAGAAAGAAAGACTTCAACAGGCTGCAAATCTAGAGAAGAGAGAAAATGAGGGAGATCACCAGCTTACACATCGGTCAGACCGGGATTCAATGTTGGCGATGCGATTCTAGGGGTGGGCATAAAACCCGAACCGAACCGCTACCGAATCGGTCCGTAATGGTACCGAACCGAATATCGGGTATTTAAACGGTTCTATAGATTTTTATCCCGAACCGAAACCGTACCATTTGAAATGGGTACGGGACCGGTAATAGATTTTGAGAACCGAAAAATACCGGACCGTTCAAAAACAATCATTTTCATTTTCATTTTCATTTTCATTTACCCCAGTGCCACAAAGGCTCCCACCTACGGTGGGGTAAGGGGGGGTCGGATGTACGCAGTCTTACCCCTGTACTAAAGCACAGAGAGACTATTTCCGGATGACCCATAGTGAAAATCGCGTCCAAAATTGCATGGACTGACTGTTGCTTCATAACAAAGAAGCGCAGACAGTTTAGTGAGCCATTTTGCTTTATTCCATCATATTCTCAAGCCAAAAAATAATGAATCTTTGGCTCCATTGCAAATGATGGAAATCGTTCAAAAACAATACATTTGAATTTGTATATTTTTTACACCAATAAATCTATTTTATAGACCAACAATTTCCAACCCAAGTATGCAGGGTTTTTTACAAGAATATTACTAGAATAAAACTTAATTACATAAATATGACTATTCATTACTACAACGTAGTGTTGTTGTAACTTACGTTCAAAATTTGAACATGAATTACTATGATTTCATTACTACTCTAGTAACTAGTCATATTTTTGTAAATCATCTTTATTTTGGTCATATTTATGTAATTATTTCAAGTATGTTTATATGTATATTGAAAGAAAGTTAAAGTTTTAGAAATTATTAATGACTATTCATTTTTAGTAATTAAGTGTATATGACTTATTGTTGTATCATGTTTGCACAATTTTACAACTTAATTAATATGGTTTAAAACTTATTTCTCACATTCAACTATAAATTAAATTAGAACTAATATTTTACCAAGAACAAAGAAGAAAAACGATTAATTTTTCTATTACATTCAACAATTTGATGATATTCTTTTTATATTTTCACATGAACTTAGTAAATTTAAGATGATATTTATCTCATGTATCATCTTTTGCTCTACTTTTTCTTAGTTATGTTGCACTATTTGTGTGTTTGTGAAATTTAGTACTACGTATGCAATTTCTTGTATTTATATCGAAATTTCATGTGAGTTGGTTGATGTTATGATATCTTTTAATTGCAAGATTTGTCTAATTTTGTAGCTGTGTTTGGCATTGTACCGTACCGTTTTGTACCTTTCTAGAACCGGACCGTATCGGACCGTTAGAAAACCTCACGGATACATTACGGGGTTTACTAATTTCCCAAACCGTTCCGGACCGCGCCCACCCCTAGGCGATCATGTTGGGAGATCTATTGCCTTGAGCACGACATTGAACTTGGTGAGCCCAACGCTGTCCTCCACATGTCGTAGATGTACCAATCGCGCCTTCACTGTTTCGCCCAACCCTAGCCGCTGGCCACCAGATCTGGAAATGTAACTGTTCCAGGATCCATCAAGGACAACGATGAAGTGCTCCATAGAAAGGTCAATCCTAAACAACTCCATAGCGTCGTCACTGCTCAACAATGGCGAAGGGGACGGTCGTTCACCTCTCCCACAGTCGGACAAAAATAGAAGAAATAGAAGTCAGAGCTCTGTGGGGATATGGAGACAGAAATCTTAGTCAATCGGTGAAGGGGGTAGGATAAGAGCGGAGAGAAGGAGAGCTCTGTGGAGTTTGGCGACGGAACGCTCTGTGGGAGAAGAGAGAACGTGAGACGGCGTAGGGGAAGATTGACGGGCATGAGTATTTTGGGTCAGTTTATTGGGAAATAAAAAAGAGTCATATTTTTGTCTTTGAAAACATGGGGTGTAATATCGGGGTCATTATTTCAAAATTTTATTTGGTACATCTCTTGGTGCAACATGAATCTGTTTTAATGCAAAAATTGTCAAATCTTAATGGTTCATATTCATTTTGAAATCTCACATTAGGTGCATTCCTCATTTGAACATATACATGCGTGTGTATATAGATAGACACATTCAAATTAATAGTCTTATTACACTTTTGTTTGCATGTTCTGAACTAGATCGTATCCAAACGTAATTTTATTATGTTTATTCAAATTAACAGCCTCAGTCTTGATTAGGTACACTTTAATTAGTGTGATCTTGGTTGTTCATCACTTGAGATTAATGTCTTTGTACTGTAGAGTTTGTACCTTTTGGGATGGGAAGACTCATCCAATACGGAGTATTAAACTTGTTTAGAGAACACTCATTGAACTGGCTAAGGAGAACACTCATTGGGAACCCAGTCTTAAGGAAAACTTTTCTTATTTAGTTAACTAATAAGAATGGTGGAAAATTAAAGAGATACTTTGGTTATGATCGTGCCTGTTTATTAGGATTCTACATCCTAGAGCTTGCTGTTTAATTGTCAGGTGGGAACTTGCTCAAGACCACCTTAATTAAAGATATATTCAACTGAAAGGAATCATGGTAAAACCTTAACTACGCACAAATTTACAACTCTTTGCATTAAAAAATCTAAACCAATTCAATACTCTCTTTTTTCTTAAGTAGTACGGAGTACAATACTAAAGAAATGTCACATTTTTAACACGTTATTCTCTTTAAGTATTTTTAATTTTTTTGTGCAACACAGTAGTAAGAAAGTATAATTTAACGAATTGTTGTGTTTAAATATAATAATATTTAAAGATATATATAAGTTGGAAAGTTAACGTACACCTCATTCAAGGCTAAAAGTAATAGCATTCCTTGAAAAGAACAAGTGAATAGATATAAATTTGGTAGATGCTATGGTATCATACCCCATTGCCGCAAAGGCTCCCATCTACGGCGGGGTAAGGGGGGTTGGATGTACGCAATCTTACCTCTGCACTAAAGCACAGAGAGACTGTTTTCGAATGACACATAGTGAAAATCGCGTCCAAAATTGCATGAGCTAACTGCTGCTTCATAATAAAGAAGCGCAAATAGTTTAGTGAGTAATTTTGCTTTATTCCATCATATTCTCAAACCAAAAAAATAATGAATCTTTGCCTTCATTGCAAATGATGAAAGAAAATGGATACCGGAATTATCACCAATAAATTTAAATCTAGTGTTTTAGTAAATATGAGTGAATAAATATAAGTTTCAGATCAATTAAAAACATCCTAAATCTGTAGCTGATTACAAGGAAGTGACGGTAGCTGATCCACACGACACACCACTACTAGTGACGAGGACATGCACACGTTAATCATGCATTGGGTGTGTGCATAAGATTACCACCTTTCTAACAACAACGATGATTGTGCTACGCTTGGCACTCAAGTGGAGAGGGCGTAACAATGCGTGTAATAGGTTAATCCATGTTTGTAAGAACTTTATATGATTTTATATATGTAAGAGATAGGTTATGAGTGGGAAATTAGATGAATGATATTTTTGTGAGGAACTTCCATTTTTTGCAAGAGAATTAGGAAAAACTATAAACTATTTGCACCCATTGGTAATGCTATCAACATTCGACCAAACTGGCACTTCTTAAACGGGTGGTACCCGTTTTTAAATTCTGCATATATATAATAATATTCAATTGAACATTGAACATTCTAAAATGATGAATATTTGGGAGGAAAATTGGGGCAGAGTGGCTAAGAAGTTAGATATACTAGCTCAACGGAAAAAAAAAAAGAATCTAGGCAAATGTCAAATGAGCAAATTTTCCTGTCTATTTTTAAACAAGCGCTGCTTGAGTCTAGGCAAATGTCAAATGAGCAAACTTTCCATACATTATGGTCAACCAAAATGAAGCAAAAAAAGAAGAGATCCCAAGTACAAAGATTCTCTTAGAATGCAGAAGATGAATTGCCGTCCCTATTCCATTCCCATACAACTTCATACTTTTCAGCAGCATCTATTGTCAAAATAGCATCATTTCTATTTCTAAAGACAGCTATTTGGGAGGCAAACCCTGGTTCTTTATCAGCCTCCCCACCAACACCACTGAATTCAACACCATAGTTATGCCTTAGAGCCAGGTCGGTTGCCCAGTGGCGAAATTGCTCTCTTGTCCACTCAAATTTGTGGTCATGGTTCCGGAATTTAAACATCCCCTGGTCCTCTTCCTCCCCATTTTGAAGTGCAGATCTCTTGAGAATTGTATTGTACTCGTAATTTGGGGTCGAGACGATGAGAATGCTTGGACGAAAAGAGTGAAGTACAACATCCCCGAATATACACGCCTGATCTTCTTCCATGTGCTCAATAACCTAACAGTCACCAAATGTCCAACATAACAAATCTATATATGTGGGAAAAAATTGGAAAAGAGACGTGCATTTCCAGGATATAACTAAAAATAGAAGATAAAGGCACAAAAAGATACGGAGTATAAAACATCATAAAACAATATGCATTTTAGGACGTCTCACACAAACAAGGAACTCCAAAGAAAGATCAACATATTTTATAATGTTCCTACGACTTTTCTTGTTAATAATCCTTGGAATTTATCAAATATTCTCTCAAGTGTGTGCCTTTATAACTAAAATATGGAAAACCAGTCAATGTTCTTTGCAAAATAATAGTGCATGTTGCTATATCAAGACATAATGTACAATATGTTGCCATATATTATCAAGACATAATTATCAATAATTATCTTGTAAATTACTAATCATTTAAAGCTTATCTATGTCAACGTATCATCTTGTAATCCCTACTTTCAGTGATTCTACAATAATAATCCCTATTGAGAATGTTCATAAAAATAATCTGAACTAACAATAGTATTCATGGGAATAAAATGCGGTGAATTAAAACTAATGCCTGTTTATCACCCCCAACCCCTACTCATACTTTCCCCTTCGCTACTCTTCTTTATTATTGCGAGGAGAGAGAAATAACATGAACCACAAATTCATTAATTAAAAGAGAAAGTGACAAAGTTTTGGGGACATCCAAAAAAGGAAAGATGGCAAAGTTATAAGAGACGGAGTGAATATTACGCTGTTGTCCTTCATAAGAATTAAGAACTTCAAATTTTAGATACAATTGTAGAAAAACAAACTAAAATGTCATTGATATTATATAAATGACTTATATTTAGGAACAATCCAACATACCTTATACTCCGTTCTTAAATAAGTGCAACATGTTGAATTTTACACTATTCACATGTTCTACTCAATTTATTAATGTATTATTAAATTATCAATACATTATTTTATTTATTAATGTATTAATAAATTATTTTTAAAAAATATATTGTAAAATTTGTCTCATCATAAATTTTCAAAAACTGATTTTTTAGAATTTTTGCTAATAGAGAATTAAATATACTAGTGATCAAAGTTGTGCATCGATAAACATGAAAAGTGGACTAGCAAAGGAATGGCATGGAAAACCAAGACTGAAGTCTGGTGAGCCACATCCGGTAGTTTTAGCTAAGGAAGGCAAAGTAAGATAGGGACTACAACGAAATAGGTATGATTTGCATGGATGAAAAAATAAAAAGTACTCCCTCTAAGATTGTCTCATCTTTCCTTTTCGGTCCGTCCCACAAAGATTATCTCATACCAAATTTGGTAAAGTTTGTGTGGTTCTAAATCATTCTTACTTTATTCTTACTTTATTAATTCAATATTAAACTATATAAATCCACTTTTCTTAATAATTGCACCTCCTCCTCTTGTCCCGATGTTAGTGGGACGGAGGTAGTAATTAACTTTAGAAGGACCTAAAACAAAAAAAAATGATATATTTGCAAGGGAAAAAACTTATTCAATATAGGAAAGTGAAAATTATATATTTAATGCCTAAATCAACATATAGGTATAATGTGCATGTGTCCAGTGACACAGAAATTCATATCTCAAACATTTCATTTGCCCTGATAAAAGAATAATTTTAGATATACCAACAAACACATGTTAAATATATGAGTATGGTTCATTATTTGTGGCAATTGCAGCTTACCAAAACTTAGAAAAAATACATTACTATATTTCTCTGTGTTAAAGAGATATATGATCCATTTGTTGATTGTTATACATTTATAAGAAAATATAGTTAAGTAATTTTTCTTTTGATTTTTTTCATTGGGGGGTTCAACATAATGTAGACTGGGGGCTCAGAGATACAAAGCGCATGATAGAATGCAGGCAGAGTACAGGTGCCACTTGCCAGCCTAACTGATAGAACTCTCCAGCCTATCATCTACTATGAGGCTATGAGCATCCAACCAAGAACCGGGTGTGTGTGTTAGGAATCTGCCTATTGAGTATTTTAATAGGGTATTTGAATGGAGAAATAAAATGGGCTGAGGTCAATTAAGTGGGCTGGGGTCATTTAAGGAGTCTGTTTATCCATTTTAGTCCCTGTGTGGACCTACTACTATAAATAGTAAGTTGGGTAGCTAATAATAGGTAGACTGTTATTTTGAGAACTGTTGCCTTGTTTCCTAAGAGTCCCGGTTGCCTAAGAAGTCCCTGTACTGCCTACGGCTTACCTATTTCATCAATAAACATCTATTTCCCTCTCTGCTCATCAGATCTGTGTATTCTCTTACTGTTTTAGTTGTGATTTGTGTCTGTGCCTATCATTGGTATCAGAGCCAATCGCTCCTGGGGATCGCTGGTGAAGTGCGACTGCTGTAAAATTTCTCGTTTCAGCATCGTGTGGGTAGCGATTGCAACCCAGCTCTTTTTTTTTTCTGAAGCGGATGGTAAAAACGAGATCCAGAATGGAAGAGCGCATGGAAACCTTTGAGCAGGAGATGAGGGCGGCTATGACAAGTTTCATGGCAACGATCAACGATCAGATCCGGACGACCATCGAGACTTCAATGGCGGCTCATCAGAACGGGAGGGAACCGTCCAGAGGGAGATCGCGATCACTGCATCACCGCTCCCCTCATCACCGTCGATCACGATCACCGCGTCACCGTTCCCCTCATCACCTTCGATCACGATCACCACATCACCGTTCCCCTCATCACCGTCGATCACGATCACTGCTAAGCCCAGAGCACTCGAGAGGTAACTCTGTAAACTCTCCTATCCCTACTCGCAGAGTGAATACTGGTCGGAAGGTGGATTTGCCATTGTTCAATGGAGTAGGTGCCTACAACTGGTTAGTAAGAATGGAGCGTTATTTTAGATTGAATAAAACAGAGGAGGAGGACAAGGTTGAGGTTTCAATGGTGGCTATGGAGGATAAAGCCTTAAATTGGTTCCAATGGTGGGAACAGCAGGCTGAGGAAGTAACCTGGGAAAACTTGAAGGATGCTGTTATCCGCAGGTTCCAGGCTGATTTATTACAGAACCCTTTTGGACCCCTGTTAAGCCTAAAACAAACTGGGACTGTAGAGGACTACCGGGAGGAATTTGAGATGGTTATTGCTCCACAGAAAAACATTGACAGGGGTATGCTACGAGGCATTTTTATCAATGGCCTCAAGGCGGAAATTCAAGCTGAGCTAAAACTTCACCCTTCCAAATCTCTGGCTGCTGTTATGGACAAGGCTGAGCGGATTGAGCAGAGGAATGAGGTTGTTCAGGGCAAGATTGCAGAGAAAACTGATGGGAAGGACAAAGGAGCTGCGACTCATAAGGCAACAGCCTGGGGAGAAGGGTATAGATCCAAGGCAAGCAGTTCAGGGCATTATAATAATGGGAGAAATATGGCAAACCACAAGGGAAACCAACCTTGGTTTACTCCAGATGGGAAGAAGGAAACAGAAATAAATCCCGCAGACATAAGAAGAGTGGGGCCACAGCTAACACACGAAGAATACCAAGACAGGAGTCGGAAGGGGCTTTGTTTCAAATGCGGTGAAAGATGGGGAAGAGAGCACTCCTGCAAGATGAAGAATTACAAACTGATTCTAGTGGAGGATTCAGAGGGAGAAGAGGAACTAGATAACTCAGAAGTAATCCCGGAAGATGAAAACATCACCATGGAATCTAAGTCCTTGCAATTATCCTTCATGAACCAGGAGGATACACCTTCCATGAGGGCTTTTAGGGTACATGGAATTCTGAAATGGGCTAAGGGAGAGAAGCTTGTAGAGGTTCTAATTGATAGTGGAGCCTCCCACAACTTCATATCACAGAAAATGGTAGAGCAGTTGACCCTCCCTTATCAGACCATTGCTGACTACAAGGTCCAGCTTGGGAATGGTGATAAGGTCTCCAACAAGGGCAGGTGTGAAAAGTTAATTCTGTGCATGCAGGGAGCTGTCATTCAACAAGATTTCTACATGTTGGAGTTAGAGGGAACTGACTTGGTTCTTGGCATGGATTGGTTGACTGGATTGGGGGATGTGGAGATGAATTTTCAGAATAAGAGCATAAAATGGCATCAGCTGGGGGTAAGTCAGGCTATTCAAGGGGTTCTTAAGTCAAATTTTATGGAAGTATCTCTGAAGACCAAGTCGCAAACTGTACAAGAGACTGGTGATGGCTATCTGATTTACTGGGAAGGCAGAAAATTGGAGGGAGGAGGAAATCGGCTGAAGGATACTAAAAGGGAAGGAGTTGTGGCAGAATTTCCTAAGGTATCTACTCCCAGACCTGGATTTCCTCTTTCCAGTAGGTGTGACTATGCTATTAACATTAAAGGAGGAGCAGAAGTACCTACCCTGAAGCTTTATAGGTACCTGCCATACCAAAAAGGTGTAATAGAGAGGATTATCAAAGATATGCTACAAGAAGGAATTACTGGGAAGAGGTGGACTGATAAATCAGCTGAAGTTGGGAAGATGCTGCTGCATCATAATGAAGGTCTGAGTAAGCAAGTGGCTGCAGTTCTTTATGAGGTAGCAACTGAAATTTCTACAAGGGCAGCCGGATTTTATCTGGCAGAACCTTTATATGATGCTGTTGGCTACAAAGTAGAGGCTTCAAGTGTAATTCCAGGGAATTTTTATACTCAGTTCCTGCTCCTGTTTGCTGTGAAAGATGTGATAAAGAAAGTGAAAGCAATGAAGCTCCTAGATCAGAAACCAAGGAGGTATTGGGAAGGAAGAGGTTCCAGGATGAAGAGGAAGTTTAAGATCAAGGCTGTGTCCTATTACCCACCTTGAGGGCAAGGTGGTTAATTAGGGGGGGAGTAATGTTAGGAATCTGCCTATTGAGTATTTTAATAGGGTATTTGAATGGAGAAATAAAATGGGCTGAGGTCAATTAAGTGGGCTGGGGTCATTTAAGGAGTCTGTTTATCCATTTTAGTCCCTGTGTGGACCTACTACTATAAATAGTAAGTTGGGTAGCTAATAATAGGTAGACTGTTATTTTGAGAACTGTTGCCTTGTTTCCTAAGAGTCCCGGTTGCCTAAGAAGTCCCTGTACTGCCTACGGCTTACCTATTTCATCAATAAACATCTATTTCCCTCTCTGCTCATCAGATCTGTGTATTCTCTTACTGTTTTAGTTGTGATTTGTGTCTGTGCCTATCAGTGTGGGTTTAAAAAATTTGCACTGGGAGCTCAGAGACACAATGGAGATGATGGAACTTAGGCGGATTACAGGTTTCACCCTATTCTGTCTTCTACTATGTGCATCCTGCCAAAGAGCTACATGGCAACTGGCTGAAAGAATAAAAAGAAGTAAGACAACTATAAATTACATTATCTCGTTACCTCCAAGCAGGTTGCAATGTCAAACCCGTACAAGCGAGAATCGAAGTCTGTTATGGAACCATAAAATAGGACAGCAGACTTGACTTTCTTAGATGATAGTTCAGTATCCATACTTGCACTTAGTTTTTGATGGAGTATCTGCATTGTAAAAGGTTAAGAGGAAAAATGAGTTTGTAACAGACCATACATAGGATTAGATGAAACTTTAAACAGAGAAGACTTTCATTACATGCATCTTACAATCTAATGTATTAAAAAGTCTATTATCATATACATGCAGCAAAAAATGATGCTATGTATTCATATTGCAAATCTTCAGTTCTAGCTGAATTTTGCCCCGACTCCCGCACCTAATTCACATTTTTATCAAACAATTTTCTCTTCAAGTTAAACTGCATCAAGCTCATATAAGTACTGCTTCATCCCCAAATATCTCTTGTTTGACAAAGCGACATTAAATTTTGGTAAGGTACAAGTGTACAACTTACATGTAAGTCAACAAGCCTATTTGCACTTTCCAACTCATTTTCTGAGTTCAACTTACTCTTATATCATGAGATTTTCCATGAAAATTCAAAATACCAATGATGTTAACGGTTTTGGAATTCGATGTCATTATTCTTTCTTTAGAAAGTTGCAGTGCAACGGTATTTGGCATAAATCGATGTCAATATGATTTGAACTTATAGTGTTATGGAGTAACTTCATAAACTTAATCAGCACTATCAATTTCATGTTGTCACCAATACCAACTTAGTTCAACTAAGGTAGTGCTAATGATGATGATGATGCGAATTCATAAAGTACAACTCTACATACATTAAGCACAATTGCTAACAACAAAAGCTTGGGTTTAATGGCAAAATCGTGAAGCAGGACCAGTATAAAATGATTCAGACCTTTGCTGCACGCGCAAGACCTTTATGGGAAAGATCAACACCAACAATTTTTTCCAAAGACGTTGGATATTCTAACAAAGAATCCAATAAACTTCCAGAACCACAACCCAAATCAACCTGCATGCAACCAAATTTTAAGCTCAATATACTTTTGATTCAAGAGATCAAAATCACTATGAAACCCTTACCAAAGAGGCAGCACATGATTGCCGGATGTGTTGCAATGCATACTCAACACGTTGTTTTGATAAAGGAGGTTTAAAGAAAGCCTGTTCCATTCTGTCCTCTGGAGGTACCGTCACCTGCAGCAAAGTTATGATACACTCCACAAAGCACATTCCTGTCAAGAAAAAGGGAAAGATTACTGCAAATAATGACATACTACCTCCGTCCCCCTAAGTTTGGGACAAGAGAAGGTGGCACGGTTATTAATAAAAGTGTGTTTATGTGGTTGATATTGAATTGATAAAGTAAGAATAAAATAGAAATGATTTATAACCACTCAAACTTTACCAAATAAGGTATGAGACAATCTTAGTGGGACGGATCGAAATGGTAAAATGGGACAATCATAGCGGGACGGAGGGAGTACAAGTTAATTTGTGAGGTCCAGAAATCAAGTCCAGTCATCTTGTTCCATAAAAACAATATTAACAATACATTGTCGTGCACAACCTTCTAAAAATAGCATACACGTCGAAAACCATATCCAAAGAAAGATAGTAAATTTGAGCTTTTAAATTTTAACACACCTGTAGACAATAGTGTCACAATCGTTGCAGAATCACCAGCTGCACCAAGAATGAACTCATCTGGAGGCAACTCCATATTAATCCATGAAGACTGACCAACAGACATCTGCATAACAGCTGCCTCTAGAAGAGGAAAAACAGCACCGCATCCAATCTCAAACTCAAACTCCTCACTACTCTCAATATGTTCCTTCATACATTCCCCTTCAGCAACCAAAGATATGCTATAACTCACACAAACCATACAACCAGCACATGGGGTGATTCCGGAATCTTGGCCATCTATCTTTGCAAAAGATATATCATCATCAAGTTTGTTCCTTTGTTGATGCATATAACCACATGCCAAGAAACTGTGAGAATGTGCTCCAATACCCTGGAACTGGTAATGCATAGATAGGCATAGCCCGAACTCCTTTAGAATGTTCTGAGGGTAGATAAGGATATCAAGATCTTTGGAGGCAGATGTCACATCTTCTGCAGACACATCAAGTTTAACAAAAAATAAATCCAACCATGAAAGGACCTTCAGGGCAGTAGTCTCTACTGCATCAGCCTCTTTCTTAAAAGACTCCTTAGGTGAGCACTGTATAATCAAATCCTGGCACTTAGATGTGATCTTGAGTACACACTTATATGACACAATTGGTTTTGTTGATGACCCATCAAGATCACTTCCATTTGTTTTCTGCCCACCCGACCCAGGTGATTCCTGCAAAGCAGGTTGTGATTCAAAGGATTTACATAGAAAGATAGGCTCAGATAGTCGATGCTGGCGACAGAATACTATGAGAATTTCTTTTGGAAAGGAACCTTTCCAATTGCTTCGTGTTGTGAATATAGTGGGCAGTTCTGCTGCAAGTAATGCATCCCTTGATAATTTGTAAATTCCCCGAGGCATCTTATACGCAAGCAACCTGTGCAAAGAGAGAGGGAGAAATATTGAAAAATAAAAGAATCAGAAATCTCTAAAGTGATAACTTAAGATACAGGAAGACTCATTCTGTGCAGTGCGGCAAGGCCCACATGCACCATGTACTAAAGATTAATTTCAGAAGAGCTAGGCGGATGCAAACTTGATAGAAGCCAACGTTTGTACCTATAATATGTACGTATGGACAAAGCTTCATGAAAAAGATGAAGCTGTGTACTTATAGACCTCCATGAGTATCCCAGAGATGCTAAAATGGCATCGCCATATATTTCTTGCCCGCATAAGTAACTTGCCCTTACATTAAGTTCTGCTTCATGATGACCAGTTTGATTGATATGATACTTAGATGATTGGTTAAGTGTGGTAGCAATGGGAATACGGTAATATAATCTTGTCTCTGAGGAAGCTTTCCCGATAGGCCTGCAAGGTAAATATTTTTTTAGTAAAAACAACAAAATCGCCAAAAGCATGAAAGAAAGGAGAAACTTGCAACTTGCACGGATCATCATGTCACATTGAACAAGTAGAGTTGGTCTTTCTTTATATATATCATCAAATTTCGCAATTTTATGAACATATTTTCCTTCATAATAAAATAATCTCAAGGAATAACGTTTCGAGAAAACAATTATCTATTACTACCTCTGTCCCCCTGTTATTGTCCCATTACGGTTTACGATGTTTGACTGATGATAAAGCAAACAGATTCCTGTCCGCACACAAATTATTTTTAGGGAAAAAAATTACATATTCAGAAACTACATTATAAGCTTTACAAAGTCGCAAAAAAACAGAATCAAATTTGATAAAAATTTGATATATAAAGTAAGAGATTAAGAGTGATTTGTGTTGACCAAGTGAATAGGAACTGGGACAATAATAGGGGGATGGAGGGAGTAATAAATAACAATAATATGCAATTGGCTGAGTTGCTAGAAAGCTCACCTAGAAATCAGAACCTTAGAAGCGTCCCTTAAGCCTAGTTCACATGCAATAACATCCAGGTAATATCCACTGAAAGATACATTAAGGGTCAAAGGTTCTACAGCATTCTTGACTGAAGATGGTAAACGTATCACCTCAACTGGAATACTTTCAACCATACTGGCTTCAGATATTGATAAAGGCTGCTCAATCTCAGGAGGATATGAATTCAATTTCTTCAGTGAAAGGTGGTCTTCAGACAAGATCAAAGAACCGGATAATTTTTCAGCTGCCCTGATTATAAGTTCCATGACCAACAAAAGATTTGACTCAACTTCAGGTTTTATGCATTTGCACAAGCTACAAACCTTTGAATCAAAGACGGCAATTGTAGATACTGGAAGAAAACCACGAAAATCACCATCTCTCTGTAGTGCATCTCTTAGGTGACAGCTCACAGGATGCACTGAAGAAAGGAACTTCATCAAATTAAAAGGGGAGGGTTAGCAAATGGTAAGTCAATTATTTTCTTAGCTTGATAGTATGGGAGAACAACTACAATAAATTCATCAGCCCTTATTAACAGTTAAAGTTGTTATTGTGGTGTGTATGTGTGTTTGTTCATTCTTAATTTTATTAATCAAGGTTGTAAGTGGTGCCATTGGCAGTTTAATGTGAAGTGTATCGAAAAGGTAATATAAGTCTGCTCTGCCTAACATCAAACATTTCAAAATAGCTTGTAGTAAACCAGACACCTCATTTGAGAACAAAAATGACAGCCGATTGACCAATTGATCCCATGCCTCCTGTGGGGTGGGGTTGTCTTCTTTTGGATGGATGCCAAGCTGCAGCAGATGAAATATCTATGAGCAAGAAGGACACTTGACTCTCGCAGTGTATTATAGATAGGTAGACATAGAAAGACATGAGGGGGTTGAGGAGAAGAAACTACATCTCAAATTATATTAGAATAATTAACAGAACATGCATAAACTCATTATCAATACGTAGTCAAATAGAACACATCCTTCATCAACTTCACCACCTCAGAGATACGATGTAATTATAGAAGTTTAGACTCATAGACCCAGTCAATGAAACACTTAGAACTGCAGGAATGTTCAAGTTCAAAGGAAGCAACATCAGAGAGATTTGGCGCCATGCACAAGGTTGACAGTATTATCATAATGCACTCAACCAGTGCTACACTCAAGAGCAAAAAGGTGATAGAACAATTATTTGTTCCAAGACTACCTGTCTTCCCAATAAGTTTTCATTTTCTGTCACGTGTCAATAATCTAGACTCAGTCTGTGAATACCAACTTAACGGATACTTGAACAGTTAAAAACATAAAGGATACAACAATAAATGCACAGTTAAGGAGCACATCAATCCAAGAAGGATGCCTTTAGATTTTAACCAAAGGAATGATGTCTAATCCTATTGAAACAACTTCATTCGAGCATGAGCAATGAAATTTGTTCTGTTTTCTATAAATTCTCTTACATTGTGAACAACAGGTTACATGGCATCTGCACCATTCACATTCTTCCAAGTCCACCCACTAGGGATGGGTCCAACCTTATTATGATCGAACATTTAATTGTGGAAAATTTACTATGAAGAACACTGTCATCACACGTGTAGGATTACTAGGATATACTAAGACCTAACCTGCCAAGTTTCCATTTTTATTACTTGGATAATATTTCTCACAAACATCTTTAATGTCTTGATAAGCATTCAGTTTCTTAATATTTAAAAAAGTGACAAAAAGAGAAACAAAGTAAGCAAAATAAATGTTATAACCTTTTGAATGGCCTTCTCCGCAGCAGATCGTTCTGCATCCTTTTTACTTTTGCAGATATCAGAGACAATAGAGAATTCTGGAAGCTCCAGCGTACAGCGGTAGAGACAAGGACCCTTCTGCGGGATTCCTAGAGCTGGAGGGCGTGCATTTTGAATGCAATCTTCGACTTCCTCGACTTTGTACGTAGCTTTATCACCGAACTTCTGGTTTATTATAGACTTAGGAGAAGGAAGGGGCTTTTTGGAAACAATAACAGAGGGTTTTCCGGGTTCCATTGTTACTTATTAAACAGCTTTTCCGCTAATCCACTGCTCTTTTGTCTCTCCAAGTGTGATTAGCTTCCTGCATCAGCAATAAAGAACAGAAATTCAACCGATGTTAATAACTTGCACAGTAATTCAGACATACTCTCGCGCCTAAACTCCAGTCTTACATTTATACAAAAGCCAAGTAAAAAAAAAAAGTAGCTTACTTTCAGAAGCTACAAAAGCCCGGTAAGAAATGTAGAACAGTAGTTAGTGGAGAACTCCAATCGACCAATCAAGGAAACCACACTCCATTTATACGTCTGTGTACTGGCTCAGACGTTCAGAAGCAACGGATGCTTTTTCTCCGTAATTTTGCCCCTTTTACTGTGTTTAATTAACTTTGGAAACAAGACCGGGAAAACCAGAGGTCAAAACGATGGTGAACCAAATTTGTTCACAGAGGTGTTGGCACAAGATTAGTACGAAATACGGAGTAATAGCAAAAGTAAGGAATAGGGTAGAAAAAGTAGGAGAGCATGTAAAAAAAAAGTAAGAAAAAAGATTAAAAGGTAGAAAAGGAAAGAGTAATTGAGTATTCTTTTAAGGAAAAACTTACTAAAAAATGGAAATTGTAACAAACTTTTAAATACGGAACTATTATTGAGTCCAATTTAGGAGGCGAACATCAGTCCCCGCTATCACATGCATGTCATTCAGCCTTACACTTATTTTTTCCTTAAAATTATTATAACTTTTTTGTATTTAATTTTCACAAAAAATATATCAAATTTAATATTTTTGTAATGTTTCTAATGGTATCCATATTACATATAAAAAATTAAAAAAAAAATCTTAAATCTATTTGTGACTTTTTTTTGTTTAAAATTTTACATATATAATAATGGTACCATATGAAAGATTATAAAAATTTAAAAAAATAGATATATTTTTTGAAAAAGTTGAATCAAAAATGGAAAAAAAAAATATAACAACCGCACAATTTAAAAGAATTATTTGACAATTATTTTAATTTTTTTAATTTCAATCCATTTTTTTCAAAAAACATACTCGTATCAATTTTTTCATTTTTTTCAATCTTTTATGGTGTACCAATATTACAATGTCAAAAGTTAAAACCAGCTAAAGACGAATATTTAGAAAAACAGTTTTTTAAAAAAATTCTTTTATGCAATATTGATATCATTGGAATATTGATATCGTTGAAACGATCTTAAAAATCATTAAACCTGATATTTTTTTATCAAAAATAGATAATAAATAAAAAAAGTTATAACAATTTAAAGAAAAAATGAAATGAGATGTCACATGATAATAAGAGGGGAAGGGGTGATCTTCACCCTCCTTGAAAGGGTAAACAAAATTACAGTCAGACAATGGTGCAACTTTAATATATATAAAAATTTGGTATTGTTATACTCGTAAGAATACTTATATACGGAGTATATAATGACAATATGATGGAAATCAAAATAAAATCTATTTAAAGTCAAAAGATATAAATTTTAGTTGTATTGATTAGTAAACTGTTACTTAATAGCTCTATAATTAATAACAATTAATGATGAACTACTAATCTAATTAGGGAGTGTTTGCAACTGCTTCTGCTTAAAAAAAGCACTTTTGGAGATGTAAGGAAAAAGGGATTAGTAGTAAAAGTTGATAGTGTTTGAGAAAAAAATGAATTTGAAAAGTAAAAGTTGGTAGTGTTTGGTAAAATAAGTGTTTTTTGTGCAATAAAAAGGGGAAAAACACTTTTCACACGCAAGTCAAGAAAAAGTAAAAATTGACAGTGTTTGGTAAATAAGTACTTTTTTAAGCCAAAAGATGAGAAGTGTTTTTTTTAAATTGTTGCAAACACTCCCTTAGTGTTTAGAGGCATGAATAAACATTAGAAATTTAAAAAGTAGAAAACTCTTTCTTCTCTTTAGAGAGGGAGAACCCCTAGCGGCTATCTCACCTCTTTGTGGGGTTGAGAATTTCTGCCGCCTCTATCAATATGATGTTGGAGCGACAGATTATACTGATTTTAGGTGTTCTAATGCTTGGGATTGCAACTACGTCGGAGGAGATAGCGTTGACGGATGAACGGGGTGCAATTGGGAGGTTGAATCAAGACTGGATCGTGAAGCCTTGGTCGGCCATTCGTACGATGGTGGAGTTGGTATTCATCCATATTGCAAAAGTTTGTTCTCCTCCGAAACCACCTCCATACCAGGAAGAGTTTTGTGGAAAGATTTTATTTCAGTATTATTTTCTCTCTAGTAGCAATTGTTTCTGTTTTAGTCCGAACATATTTGGTTTGAATGTTTGGATTTTTGGAGTTCTATTGATAGGCAGGGTTTCGCTTCCGGTCGTTTTAGGCCTAAATTTGACCGTTTTAGGTTTAGCCAGTCATGTTGCTTTGTATGAGGTGGCTGGCTCTAGGTCTACTCTTAGGGTTCACGATTGGATCTGTAAAATCTGTTGTAGATTGTCTTATATGTGTTCTCGATTTTAATATAACGGTCACTCTTTTATGAGCAAAAATAAATAAACATTAGAAATTTGATAATAAAAGCAATTATATAAATAAAACGATTACAAAAACATTAAGAAAAAATGGGAAAATGGCATAAAGTTAGGAAAACGAAATGTTCCAATTCAAATATATAAATATGTAGAATATTCCATTTTTTAAAAATATTTATAGAAAAGAATGTATTTGAAGTGTCTTTTTCTTATACTCGGTAACATTTTTGGTGCAAACTTTATGGTGTAATTATTAAGAATTTTTTTTAGATAAAAATATTATATAATTTATATAAATGGAAATGAGTAAAATATAATATCACTTATTCTTAAGAAATAATATTATCATTCTCATTATGTATATTATTGTGATTGGTATATACATTCTTCGTTTTCATGACAAATTTTAATTTCTCGATTTTTACCTATATTTATTTTTGGAGACGTAGTCAATGTAGTGTATATGGACATGTGGTGATACTTATGAAGCAACAAGTTTTGGATCAAATAAAAAGAAGTCTAAATGTGTGTAATAAAAAATGTTTTAAGTGCATTTGATTTGAGATTTGATAACTCTAAATGTGACAATATTGCAAAAGACTGAATTAAAAACGCGGTTATATTTTTGAGAATAAGTTATCATTGTTGTCATTGCAAAAAGTGCACTAGTTGAATCTAAAGGTGCTGTATATTGAACTAAAATGGAAAATTTCACACTTTTTTTGTGAAACAAAAATTTTATTATAAAGTATGTGTACTTCTAGATGGGAACTATTTGGGAATTACAAGGCACGACATCTGATCATAAAAAATGCATAAATAGTGATCATAATTATCACTAAATAATAATATAAAATTATAAAACTACGCTATTTTTTAAAGTCGCGTGTGATAAATGATTATTTAGTGATTATATATTAATTAATATACCTTTAACAATTACTTTTAATACATTTTTTTATAATATTTTAGTTCGATAAAATAAGTGTGTATATTGACATTACTCGTGAAATGAATTACTTTCTGAAATAGAATGGTGCATGTTTGATAATGTTGGAATTGATTGAATCGCTTGAATTGGAGAGTTAATGATGACTGAAGCGGTTGAATTGATCGAGTCTATTGAATTATGAAACCATTAAAATATACTTTATCAACAAAATGAAGAAAAAGTTAATGGAAAAGCAACAAATTTGACATTTTTCAAATTCAGTCAAATCGATCAGAAAAACAACTTTATCGTTACTTATATTGATCAGCCATTTTTCAATATGTGAAATTAAAAAAAGTTACATATTATATAAATAGAAGCTCGGTAAGATTGATAAGCTCAAGACGGGAATTATTAAATCGGCCATTAATTCCATGTGTCATTCGTGCACCACATAGGTTAGTTGACTAGTAAAAATATACTCGTGAAGTGAGTATATAACAAAGGCAGTAATCAACTGATAGTATAATAAGGTTTAGGTAGATTTAAAAAAAAACTTAATGACATAAATAATATTTTCACCTTTTGAGTGGACAAGAAAGAAACTTGGATTTGATTTCGACAAAAAAAAAAAGAGTAATGTTTGTTGTACACAAAGTTTATACAAAAAATGTACATAGGTCATGTTTGGCAATCAGCGGTTAGCAGTTAGCGGATTGTGATGGCAGATAATTAGCAACACATTGTATAAATAGATCTGACTAATAGCTCCATTTAGGATGCTTTTACTTTGACTATTTTCAGTCCCAACCCAGATCGGACTATCACTAGATTTAAACAAACCAGTCCCAAACTAGGCCTACTTAAATAGATCATATTAGACTAGACTTTCATGGTTATAAAACATACAGAGACTGACATTTACCAAACCAGATGGACTTAAAATGACCATATCATATCAGACATAAACAGACATGATCAACAAGTTTCAATCCAAGTAAAAAATATCTTTAGAAAATTTTAGAATGATGTTTGTTAAATTAGGGGTTAGAAGGTAAAAAGACATATAAATACATTAATTGAAATTATATTAGTCGGCTTTATCATGGGGTTCTTGACATTTATCCTTAAGGATGTTTTTACTTGGACTGTAATTTGCTGGTCTGGTCTGGTCTGATCTGGTCTGGTCTGGTCTGAACTGGTCTGGTCTGGTCTGGTAAGGTCTGGTTTCTTTGTATTTTTATAACTATCCAAGTCTGGTCTGGTCTGGTCTGGTCTGAACTGGTCTGGTCTGGTCTGGACTGGTCTGGTCTGGTCTGGTCTGGGGCAAATTACAGTCCAAGTAAAAACATCCTAAGTATTTCTATTCTTAACCGACCTTCACATTATTGTGATTATCTATATAACTTATTGGCTTAGTTGAACTCAAATACAATTAGCTATGCTAGTTGTAGCATCATAGCCTACACTTTAAGTTAATTTCACTTTTGGTACTACATGTTTTATATCAATTTCATATTTAGTCTACGCTTTTTACTTTGTCCACTTTTAGCACTTGGTTATTGTTTTCTTGATCATTTTTGATCCATCCTTGAACATTGTTTCCACTAGAAAAGGACTATATATGGGTAAAAACAATAGTCATGTACCAAAAGCGATTAAAATCAATGACGTGAACTAACTGTGAAATTGATGCGATACTCATAAGATCAAAAGTGGAATTTATTCCATATACTTTTCTCACGAAGCAGAGCACATAAGTGTTCGAGTTATAGAGAATGAATATTATATGTGCACTTTTGAGAAATATTTCTTCGGGAAAATTGTCAAATAGGTTCTCGAACTTTCATAAAAAGGTCAATTAAGTCCTTCTATAAGAGGTTCTGTCCGGCCGTCGCGGTTTGGGGCAGTTCCCGGTGGGATTTTTTGATGAATTTTTTTGAGCATCTTATTCACCAAGTCTAGTTTACGCATACCAAATTTCAGCTAAAAATTCA